TTGGATCACAAAATCTTTAATCAAAAGTAAATAATTTCTCAATACACGGAGGCTAAAATCTGCTAAAAATAAAAACGTAACCCACCGGTTTTCGTTTTCCGTGACAGGTTATATGTGGCGAATTTTACAAGAGCAAAATACACACCAGTTCAAGCTAGGCTTGTTTCGATTTGCCTGCTGATCATTTTATCGATCATTTCCAAAAAGTATTTTTATTTTAAGTATTTAGATGTTTATTTATTCACACGACAAAACATAATGACATTACCAATTTTGGATCGTCATTTTGCTTCTAATATCATCGGATGATATTTTGCCTTTGTGTAACCTGTCAGGAGTGTTAAAGTTGGTTTATGATTTAAAACGGATTTTTTTTCCTGTTACATTAGTCACAAGATCGACATGCATATTCTACAAACTATAAAAACCCTCTTTTTTTTTTAAAGTCAAAAAACAAGCCATGTCTGGAAATAAAGGTAATTTGTTACAAATCAAAAAAAAAAATTATTTATAAATACTTAAGAATTTGAACTAAAGAAACTTCTGCATATACATTTAAATGTTATACAGTTGCTAAACAAAGTACTCTTCCTACGAAAAAAGAAGTAGAAAGTTGGAATCGTCAAGAACTTTGTAACTTTTTGATATCGAAAGGTATTGAGGATAAAGAAATTAAGATTATCATCGACAAACAAAAGGTCGATGGTTCAACCTTCCTTGAATTGACCACGGAAACTCTTCAAAAATGGAAAATACCAGGCGGACCAGATATAAAAATATTAAAGTTGGTTAATGAAATTCAAGGTGATGTTTTGGTTGCCATGGTTTCATTCCCCTTGTCGTATTTATTTAATATATCATCTCTGTCTCCGCCATGCAGGAGGCATAAAACCATTTACCGGGAAGGTATCCGTTCTTGTTGATAATTTCAGTTTGCTTAAGCAAGGTGAAAAAACCGTGAGATTTTATGAGAGAGATGTTGACAGAGTTAAGATGCTCGTTAGTTACAAAAATCTTCAATCATTCATATTAAATGGACGAGAGTTGGGTGGCCCTTTAGAAATAATTTGCTCATATTCTTCCATGAGAAAAAAACTTGTTAGGTTTTGGGATAAAATTAAAAGTCAAGGTTTTGTTGTTCACCCCATTAAAAAAAAACCAATCATGACAAGAGAAAAAAGAGTAGATATGCAATTAGCTACCCGTGGAGAGCAAATCTTGGAAGAGAGGAATCCTGGAATATTGGTTATAGTAACAGGCGATAGTGGTTTCAAACCATTAATTCGAAGTGCTATGAAGAAAGGGTGGAAAGTTGAAATATGGTTCTTGTCATTTGGTATAAAATATTTCTGTATTTGAAGTTCTGTGTTTGATGTCAATGAATGTTTCTAAATGAAATCTCAAACCCTTTAGGATTAAATTTTGAATATCAATCTAATAAATTTAGAAGAAGTAACGATAATTGCCAATTTTTGAAAAAGGAGTATAAAAAAATTTTATATGCACGTGAACTAAAAGGTCCTCGTAACTTTCCTGTTGAAATCAAACATGAACATGTGAAATTTTTGGATGATGAAGACCTGTTGCAATTATTCTCTGATTTGGATTTATTTGGATATTGGCGTTGGATCGATGATGATCATTTAACGATTTATGTTAATACAAAAGAACAGGAAAAAGTAGTAAATGATTGGAGGAATGCAATTTAATCCATAGATAAATTAGTAAGATTAGCGAATTTACTTTTTTTTTTTTTTTTTATTTTACTTTGAATTTTATGGACATCATTTTATTTATTACCCCTCGTTTTGCTATGATTTTAATAGCAAAACAATTGTAAAATTGATATTTAAATGTACTGTACATACTGCTTTATAGCGAAATTGTCACTTAAATTAATGGGTTTACATATCATTACTATTAAACAGATAAAATAACTAGTGTAGCTCCTATTTCCAGGGACGATTTGCTCTTTAACATTAAAAAATTTGTGTTATGTAAAGATGTCTTTTTAAGGAAAAATGCATTGTTAGTTGATAAGTCCCAATAATTCTTTTCGAGTTCTCATCATCATGTCATTGTTTGTTAAAGTTTTTTTTCAAGCCATAATCCCAGTTGAAAATCAGGCTCGTGAATTTTGAAGAACCCTTAGATATTTCTCATTATCTCAGCAGCCATTTATTATAGGGTAAATTTATCCTGTTCTGGGGGTATAGGTTCTTATCCTGTTTCATAACTGTTTTATCACGTGATATTTACTTTAAAAATTTATTTATACATGGGTAATTATAACATTCCAAATTTATCGATAAAGTATAAAACGCGAACTTACATCGTAAAAATCTTATTGTTAAATAACTTATTTAATTTTAATATAGTTAATCATTATAAATTTTTCTCCTCGAATCGTTTGTTATATATACAGTATAACAGAATATTAGTCGCAACGAATATCCATAGTTTCTTTATCTTTTCCAATCTCACCACCATCACCAGTCTTTTCTTCTATTTTAACTAATATATTCTTATTACTAACAATTTATGACACTCACACAAGTTGGAAATGATTTTGATGTCCATTCCGTGATATAATCTGATCTATATATTCACGAATTCTTTTATATCGGCTGATGGGTTCATTTATATAGCTGAGGGGTTACTAGTACAAAAATACTATAAAATTAAGCGATATGTCTTAAAAAAAGTTAATCAAAACACAGTAAATGTATACATGCTTTCATTTTCTTCATTAAATCAATTATATTACCAACAATAACCTTTTCATTAATACAAACGTTGCAATCTTTAAATGTTTGCATTATGCCATTTGTTGCTTCATTGCACAAAAATATTTAAAACTTGAAAATTAAATTTAATACATAATTTTTTCAAAAACGTGTTTTTAACCTTGAATAAAAGTTAATGGCATTATTGAGTAAAATCTATAACATATAAAAGTAACTTTTTCTTTATTAAAAAGGTTCTATATAATATGAATTAAGAAAATTAAATTTTTTTTTTTTTGAAAAATAAAATAAATTTTATTATAGAAAATAGAATTTTTTTTTTAAATCAAATAATAATTTAAGGGTTTTGTTTTTCATCGCCATAGCGATTTATCGCCACCCCATCACGTGATTGTACTCATTCTATAATTTGTAATATCGTATAGCATTTTAATACAAGTTTATTATGTATGCAATTCATTATACAGTTTAATACAATACACTGATATTCTGGGTTGTACCAATATCTTGCATTTTTTTTGGTAATGTCCAACCTCTCCGCATTTCCTACATCATCGTCATCGATGACTCTTTAAATTAGGTTTATAAGTTTCATGAGCTGATTTAAACCTTTTGGTACCCAACGGACGTCCTTTGCCGCATCTTTTCTTTGGATTTTGCAATAATGATGTTGATGGACTAAGTTTTCCTTATTACTCGAATCTTCTTCATGGTAAATTTTTCCTGTTCATCATCTTCATCCTCCAAGAAATTTTCCAGTAAATAGATTAGCTGTTCAGATCTGAAATTATTTTGCAACGCCTTATTTAAAGCCTTCTTATAAACCCCATGTAATTTACCATAAATAATTCGTTGTTCAAGCACTGATAACCTTTCATCACGGAATTTTGTATTAATTTGGTTAAATAGAAAATCAACAAATAAAGGTTTCAAAATATTAACAAAAATAAAACCATTCAAAGAACTAAAATAAACAAATAAATAATGAAATGAGCTTTTAGCGGCTTGTGTTTCAACCGGCAACACCCCCATGATCACCATCAAAATCTTCAGACATGTAACTTTTGAGCAATACCTAACCTGAACTAACTCTAATTAACGCCTAATTAACCCTTAACTAACCCTAACTAACCCTAATTAACCCTAACTAAACCCTAATTAAACCTAACTAAACTTAACTAATCCTAACAAACCCTAACAAACCTAACTAATCTCTAAATATTTCTAACTCTAAATCTAACTGTGATCACATGTCCAAGGATTTTAGATAATGTTGGCCTTGAGTCTACTTTTTGGAGAGGGAGGAAATTATACCAACTGAACTCACTAAATGGTTCATTTTCTAACTCTAACCCTAAATAACTACAAAGCCAACTTGAACTCTAATCTATCTCTAAAAATTCAGAAATTCAAAAAAAGTATATATCATTATCACTTAAGTTGTCTTCATTCTCTTCATTCATATTAGGTTTATAGTGAATACAAAGAAAACAAAATAATAACTGTTATTGCAAAAAAAGTAATACAGCTAACGTAAATAACAGATAATATATTTTATGATGTATTAGTGTTAAAAATGAATAAAACAAGCTCAATAAATATGTATTCTGATATAGTAGAGGCAAAAGCCATTAAAATGAATAAAAATAAAAAACAAGTTTGACGAACAAAATAAGAACAAAAAAGAAATTTTAATAATCAAATTGATTAAAAAATGAAACAATAGCAGAAATAATGTGAAAATGTTATCATAAAGTTATTTCACATGATTATCACATGAAGCGAAGAGGGAAGATAACAATAAATTGCATATGTGATAAATGGGAGTGTTTCTAGAAAAATCAGGTTCTGAGAAATTTTTGACTAAAATTAAAAGCTTAATGCATTTTAATCTAATAACATCAAAAACTAAAATGCAATAATAATCTCAATTTTGCTAAAAAATTCTCAGAACCTGATTTTCCTAGCAATTAATCCAAATGATAATTTTCATAATTTAAAATTTAAATTTATTCTATTTTTTTTTTAACAAAAAAAATTAATTATAAAATTAGTTTATGAAAAAATTATTTAATTATAATCTTAAATTAATATTTATAAAACTCACTTTTTAACTTTATTTAAAAACTAATTCTAATTTAATTAACTTTAATATAAAATCTATTATTTAACTTACTTATTATTATTTTTTATAATAAACCTTATTTATATAGATAAAATATTAATAATTATTAGAAATATTTAAAAAAAATTTTAAAAATATATAAAATAATATATAATTTAATTTTTTAGGTTTAAAAACTATAAATTATAAATGTTAAAAATATAATTTTTTTAAAAATTATTAGTTAATAATATCAATTTTATATAAATTATAAAATTTATATGAAATTTAATTTTCTTTATAAAATAATTCTAATAATCTAAATTTATTTAAATTATTTTAACTAATCAAAAATAGTATAATATAATAAAAATCAAATTTTATTATTTAATTAATTAATCTATATTAAAGGTTTACTTTGTAATTTAGGGGGGGACCAAGGGAGTTCCCACTAAGGAGTGGTAGCCTCCCCAGTACCTTCTTGCTATATTTCTTTGTATTCTTTTTCTATTTCTCGCATCTCTAGCTCATTAAAATTACTAATTATATTTCTTGCCTAGCTGGAGACTCCACAATCTCAGAAATACTATTTTGTAATCTTACTTAGCTAAACTCTTTGGAATTGTATAAATACTAATTTGTTATTTTATTTAGCACGAATTGTTTGAATGTAAATAAGCTTACTGTATGCGAAATGAAGTGAAACGGTAAGCAAATTGTGAATACAATAAGTGGGCAGATGATATGCAAATCATAAAGCAAATATGAATGCCAATTCTGTGGAGCAAAGCGGAGCATGTATACAAGATATGTTCACAGGTTGCAAAGCATCAAAGATGCGAAGCATATGTACACAAGATATGTTCACAGGTTGTGGAGCATCGAAGATGCGGAGCATATGTACACAAGATATGTTCACAGATATGTTCACGGGTTGCGGAGCATTAAAAATGCGGAGTATATGTACACAAGATATGTTCACAGATATATTCACGGGTTGCAGAGCATCGAAGATGCGAAGCATATATACACAAGATATGTTTACAGGTTGCGGAGCATTGAAGATGTGAAGCATATGTACACAAGATATGTTCACAGGTTGTGGAGCATCAAAGATGCAGAGCATATATACACAAGATATATTTACAGATATGTTCACAGGTTGTGGAGCATCGAAGATGCGGAGTATATGTACACAAAATATGTTTACAAATATGTTCACGGGTTGTGGAGCATCGAAAATGCGGAGCATATGTACACAAGATATATTCACAGATATGTTAACGGGTTGCGGAGCATCGAAGATGCGGAGTATATGTACACAAGATATTCGCGTCCAAAGTAGCCAGAGCAGTCAAGCAGTTTTCTTATCACAGATTAGCCAAATAGACCCACTTCTTCGGTCAAGACCTTCAGGAGAAAAAAAATCTAATAATTATGTAATCTCTGTGACTTGGCTGATCCAACTCGCTCACAAGTCTAGCTTATTGTCGGAAGCTGGCTATGTGAAACGTACATTCGTTTTGATATTTCTCTGGGAGCTTGGCCCTTATAGCACTTTTTTGGCCTCTTTAAGGGGTATATCATCTTTACCATAATTTTATACACCTTGATGCAGAAATGGTCATATGGCAAAGATCTAACCCCATCTGATGATATCCAGTCTCCTAAAGGTTTATGACCGAATGAGCTTTAATGGCGGTGTCTTTTATTGCACTAGAGACAGGTAAGTCTTACATTCTGAAGATAATGATCCTCAGAATCATTTATTCGATCAATTGAAAATGATTGCGAATGGCACTTTGGATAGCCTTGGAATAAGAGTGGAACACAACATACCTTACAAACTTTCTTTGCTGATATGCCATAGAAATTATCTCTTATGGCGTGATTGATGAAATAACTTTCTCCTCATCATTCTCTGCTAGATAGAGAGGATTCTCACATACCGTATTGTTCTCAATCAAATCAGTCTTATCATCTACCTGCCAGTCCTTAACTATCATAAGCGGTCTTGGAAAGTGTCGCTTCTTTTTTCGATCATCTAGCCTATAGTATCTTAATTTTGCCTCAATAATTTGGGGATAAGGAGTTGCTTGAAGTTTAGTAGGTTTGATATATTCAAGGACACCGTCTGGTAGTTTAACTTGAATCATTTAATTCATGTATCGTACTCGACTGCAGGTTATATATATGGCATTCTTAATCCAGCCTTCCAGGCTATGGTCCACAATGAAACAATGTTTTGGAGACTCGACAGTCTGTTCTTGGATTCTATGAATTGTTCCCAGCCAGCATATTTCCACTCAGCAGGGAATTCGCGTAGTACTATTTCAAGTGATACATTTACTATCGTATCAACATATACTTCAATAATTTCATTGCTACTGGGAATCTGCACAGGTTTTCCTTAAATGTGATACATATGCTTGACACTTTCGTCTGGGTCAAAGTGGATAATTGAGGATACATTAGGAAAGCATGACTTATGAGCCTGTATTAATGCACTTTCAACTCGCATACCTATATCATTTGTGAAGCAAATCCAGATATCTTCTGGAGTCCATTCAGTAAGTGTATTCTTCCATGATGTTGTAGGTAGAGCTTCACAGAATTCTTGTAATTGGGTCATATCATTTTTCATCCACATGCGTAATTTTAGTACCTTAAGTTCAGGATCATAAGTACGATAATCATCCATATACCAGATTACTTCATCGGCCTACTCAGTAAGAAATTTATGTGAACCTTCTTTATCACCCTATGGCGTAAGTTAGCCTGGATCACCACACATAATATTCTGACATCCACGACTTTCGGCATAAGATAATAATCTTTGTAATACCTTCTTTGGAATCATACATGCCTCATCAAAGATAAGTATTTCAGCCAGAGCTTTTTT